TGGCCTCAAGGGCAAGGAGCCACTGATCCTGACTTCAAACAGTGTCCTCTGCAGCAACCCTGATGCTGAGAAGTGATTAAGGGTGGCAAGAGAACCAAAAGGCTCCAGCTCTCTCTCCCACGCTCGAAAGCAATGCCACGATGGGTGCAAGGCGTGGATTAGGGAAACCTGCATCCAGATGGAAATGGCAGCAGTTGCCTTTTCCAGCCTCTCCCCAAAGGAAAGGGGAGCATTTTCCAGGTGTTAATTTAATGTACTGCAGGAGTTCAGAGGGAAGGGGGGGCTGTTAGCACTTTGCAGATGTGAAAAGAAAGACGTGTCTTTCCGTCCCCACAACCCTGCCCGAGATGTCATGGATCATTTGACAGCACAGAGTGAGTTTCTTGTGCTGCTGAATTTTTGGTATAAAGGCAAAGTAATGATCGTCCCCAGTGCCATGTAGGTCCCACAATAAAGGGCAAAGGGGAGCTCCAACTCCCAGCCCGCTGCTATGGCCGAGGATGGGTTTGCAAGCAGTAGTGGTAGTGCTGATTTATTCAAGGAGGAGGCAGAACATCCGCTTTTCTTGGAAAGGATTTTCCATTTGACTTGTATACAGGCTCTGCTTAGCCCAAAGGATGTCCTTGAACCCTGGGGCAGTCAAAAGGCCGAGGATACCTCGTGCTTTGCCCCCTGGTTCAGTCTGAAACAAGGTGCAGGGGGCAGCACAGGCACCTCCAGTGGGCTGGGGAAGGGCTGTGGGTCTCTGCTCAAGGCACCAGAAGGTCCAAAGAATCCATTCTTTGATCACTAGATCACGCTGCATCTTGAAAAATGCTTCTGGAGGAGCACTTCTGAAGCAACTCCTTTTTTCTTCTTACTTTAAAAACTTTGGCTTTACTTTTAACCATCCCCAAACCCACAATCCTTTTTCTGCACCTAAACAGGTGTATGAAGGTATGGTTGGATAGCGTTGTATGAGATGGGCTAAGAATGTAGGGAAAATGGTTTCTGTGCCCAAAGATTTGTCTGCTTTTTCCAATTTTAGCACTCAGTCTAGTAAGAGAAATAGTTCTTTAGTACAAGCCTTATAACCACATGTCATTCAGAAAAGTTTAGCTAAGAATTAAACTAAACATCCAATTTGGCTGCATGTGTAATGAATAAATAAAGCTTTTTCCTTTCATGTACCCGTGCCAGAGTCAACAAGCTCTATTAGCTGATGAAACAATGCTGACGCCAAATAAAAATACCCCTGACCCATCAATATGGGCTAAGAGCTCGGCCCTGCATCAAAGAGGTTTGTCAGAAAAAGAAATACTGTCTCCACACCTCTGGGGGGGAAACAAAGGCCCCCATTCCTGCAGCAAGCTGGGCTCCCTGTGCTGCTGGTGCAGGGAGCTCTCTCTGGGATGTCAAGGAGCAGCAAAGCCATTCCATGGGCACCGTCTGCTATGACACCTCTCCCATCTTTTGCTGGAATGATTTGGAAACCTTCTGAACTGCAAACCTATTTGGAGCTGGGATTAGGGCTTTGGTGTTTGCTTGCTCCCCACTGCACACCCTGTGTGTGTGAACTCCCCACAAAACCAGAGGATTTTTTATCCTGTGTGCAAAACGCTGACGCTTCAAAGTGAAATCCTCCAAGGTCCCTGCTCGGCAGCCAAGAGGAGCTTCAGCATCTCAGAGTATCAACACCTGGGAGCACCCTGCCAGCTGGGCCATCCTCCCTCTCCTCCCCAGGAGAGTGGGAAGGTGAAGGAACACTCCATCTCCCCTCTGCCCCATGCAGACTGTGCAGCTTTGCCATTCCCCAGCCGTGCTTATCCTGCAAACCCCTCTCCTTTGAAATCCACGTTCAGCTGCTCCGTGCCATGCCCTGCATGTGATCTTTGAAGTCTCGCCCCTCCCTCAACATCCTTGGCTAAAAGATCTGTTCCCTATTAGTTTTCAGTCACGCTTTTAGACTCATTCAGGCTTTTATTTACTTATCCATCTGTCTTCCTGTTCCCACCACTCCCCCTGCCCTGCCAGGAGGGAAAGTACAATTCATTTTTCAGGTGACCCTGCCAGGAAGGCATTGACATAAACAGGAGCAGGTTCAGAAACTGTGGAAAAAGCAAAACCCTTGACTTCAATAAGCAGCAAAACACTTCCCAACCAGAAGAAAGCAGCCAGATGTGACTAGAATTGCTGCAGAACAGAAAAGACTGTCCTCCAAATAATTCCTGCCATCCCCTGATGCCTCCTTGTGCAGAACTCTCTGCGAGCACTGCTCAGAGTTGTTGCAGGGCAGTGTGTGATCCTGTGGGCTGTGTGATGCCTCCTGGTGCTGGTACAGCCTCGCAGGACACACTCACTGTCTGACAGGGTCCTGACTGTCACCAGGACTCTGCTCCTCTGCCTGCCCACAGCAGTGCCCTGCACAGGGACACGGTCCAGCTCCCTCCTGTCTGGCTGCTTTGAGCATGGAGGGGTGTTTGTGTGTCTTTAGTTTTGATTTCAGCTGTCTGAGCAGTGCAGGTGTCCTGCTGGGCTGCGCTTAATTCTGAGTAACGCGAGTTTAACTGCACGGACGGTACCCCGCTGCTTTGAAAGACACCTAAGAAAGCAATATAGTCACCGTAAGAACTTCTCTGCTGGAAAGCCAGGCTCCTATGAGAACCCACCTGTTACAAAGAAATAATTAAAACCTGAAGAGGAAGGATAACAGGACACTGAAAGGCACCTGAGCGGGCTGGCAGCGAGGAGCTGCTCAGGGCGTGTGTGTGAGCTGCTCACCCTCCCCTCTCAGCCAGGGCCGGGGCTCGGAGGTTGTAACGATCGGTGGGCAGCAACATCGATTTTTGTCCGGCACTTCCTTAGTGCAGGGGGAGCAAAACTCGGCTCACATCCTCTGCGGGCTCCGCTCGCCTCCCCCTGCCTGTCAATAGGTGTCAAGTCACCACCCAGGACCGGCGGTGGAAGGGCCATTTCTTGCTGATTCCACTTCCTGCTGACCATAAGGGGATGCTCAGCAGTAAGTGGTCACATGTCATTCCCTGTGAAAATTTACCTTGATGGCCTCCCAGCCCACACCACTCCAGTCCTAAGGCTGGATCTCTCCTGCAGCCACCTCCTGCTCTGTGCACTAAGCGCTGGGTGGGCTCTTTGCTCACCTCAGCAGGGCTGCTCTTCCTCTGCTTCGTTTTTATAACTCTTTAGTCCTCTGGAGAGGACAGCACTGGTGTCAGGGTGGGGAGAAAGGACCATGAATACAGTGGAATTTCATGTCCCTATCCCAAAAATCTAAAAAATTATATTGCAACATATCATTCCTGGTCTCAGCTTGATTCTTCATCAGGGAATTGCTCAGGGACGTTGCTGTGAGCGCTTGTTTCTGTTTCGGAAAACAAAAGCTGGGCCAGGCTGGGGTGAGGCAGGGACAGGAAGGCAAATCCATGTTTTGCATTTGTGTAGCTCTCATTCACGGCTGTACACGGTGTTTGCAAGTGTTGCAGCACATGGCAGGCGTACGCTACACGGAAATGCTGCCGGTGCCCAGAATAGAAAGATTTTAGCTCAGTATTGACTGAATCAAGAGATGTGGAGGGCTGATTGCAGTTTGTGTCTTTTGCTTCCTTGGAGGTCAGTGGAGCTGAAGTCTGGAGCATCCTTAACCAGAAAGGGTTTGCAAAGAGCTGCAGTGAGTGTAGTGCAAAGCAGTTTGGTGTTCTCCTTTTAATCCTTCTGCTGCCAGTCAGATAAATGGAAATACAGACCCACCCATCAATAGTTAACGGTTTTATTTGCAATCTTGGACTTAAGCTTTCTTTTCCAACGATCTTTTAAAAGGTAAAGCTGCTACTTATCTGGAATTAGTGGAAATGTCTTCCTTGGTACTAATGAGACCCCTTAGGCTGGAGGGAACTGGGTAACTACTGGTAGCATGTCCTGATGGTCATAAATGTTTGGTGTCCCTTGGTATCAAAGCAGCATTTTTCTCTTGGATTTTCAAGAGGTGCCCTGAGCTGGTTGGGCCCAGGGTATTTCCTAGGTGGCAAACTGAGGCACGGGGTACACAAGCCTGGATAGCACTGGCAATAGAAAGTGGGACTCTGTACTGATTTAGAGGGAGAACTCCCCTTCTCATTATAGGTAATGAAAGAATAACATACTCTTTTAGAGCACCTCCTTGTCCAGTGCTCAGCACAATGGAAACCCTGTCAGCATGGGCTGGCTTGGTCCCTGTCCCTTAATTGTGTGCTTGGACCACTCCTGAGGGACATTTGAGAGGGGGCATTACTGTTTTGCTCTTTGCTTTGACCCCTGAATTCTTTAACAATGTAAGGCCTTGTGAATTATAAATCAAATGCTCCTGCTGAGCTTTGTGGTGCACAGAATGAAATGTGATGATTAATATTTAAGAGAAAATAAGTTAAAGATTTTAACTACAAGGGCAAATGTCTGTCCACAGAGTCTTTTCATGGGGAGGTTAGAGGAGAGGGAGAACCACATTTTCAGATATTTCAGTGAAATTTATGGCTGTCAGGCCAACTGCCAGAGCTGTCAGTGTGCAGGGGCCATGCTGGCCCTCACCGACCTGCCCTTCACTCTTACTCAGAGATAATGTACCCAGCTCTCCCGTGCTGGAGCAGCCCTTTGGGGTGGGACTGGTGAGCACACCCCACACACTTCAGCAAGCAGAGGGACGTGCTTGGAGCAGCTTGGGTTGAGTGCTCACTGGGGGCAGAGCTTTTCCAAAACCCAGACCTTACCCAGGACTTGCTCAGCCCTCCTCAGCTCCTCCTTGCCCTCCCCTCCACCATCCCTGCTGTAGGACTGACTTCTCCTTGGCACAGCACTGGGATGGGCAGGATGCCTTCCCCCACTTAGCAGACCAGGAGATTGAGAGCTCCAGGCAGCAACCACTGTGGCCACCCTGAACCAAAATGTCCTTACAATGGCACATTGGCAGGACGCTGCCTCTGGCCACCAGCAGAGCCTGTTATAACCCATCAGATAAGGAGGGAAACACTTACATGGGTGCAGAACCTCTCGGGCGGGTCCCCACAAGTGATTCCTGCCGGATCCACCCGGACCGTCACATAATCCTTCATCCGCATGGCCTTGGGCTGGCAAGCATAAAACTCCCATGAGGGGCCATCGTCCGTGGTCACCCAGGACTTGCAAATGTCATACTGTCCCATGGCCAAGGGGACACAGTGCAAGAGGAGAGCAAGCAGGTGGAGCATGGCAGCTGTTGCCAAGCGCGGGGTCCCTGGGCGAGGGCAGTGCCGGGAGTCCCGAGGAAGGCAGCTACTGGGCTAGGGGTTGCTCTCGGGATCAGCATGGAAACTCCTCATCTAAAAATGATCCAGTTGAAGGAGACCCAGGTGGTAACAGGGATGATCCCACTCTGCCCGCTGTGTCTGTTCCTCTCGGCACAGAAGCCAACTTTGCAATTCACTTGATTGGGAAAGTTTTGGCCAGAGTTGCTGATCAGTGGTCAAAAGTCTTCCTTAACCTCATTTTTCCCCCCTTTTATTGTACGAAAGGTCTTCCAAATCAGCATGAAAATATCTAGAGGTGACTCCAGTCAATCAATAGAAAGATCAAGTTCTGACTTGCTGATGAAATTTGATAGGAGTAAATTGGAGAGGCCGTGAGATGGTGCTGGATCAGGTTTTCCTCAACCTTCTTGTCTGCTGCAAATGCGTCGCTGGGGAAGTGCCTTAAACTGTGTCTGCCTTAATTACTAGGGAGTTTGAACATTAACATATAAAATGAATAGAGCATCTGGTCATCAGTACAACTCTGACAAGAGAGATCCTTTGGAGCTAAAATTCCCTTTTCCCAAAGGATGGTTGCGTCAACATGAACAGGTCAGGTGTCAAGATCCGTGGTGGTCCCAGCAGGATGCTGGGTGGTCACTGGGTTGACAGGAGCAGTGCTGGCCTCTGCTGCTCCTGTTGTGTCCTGTGGTGGTGGTGAGGCACTCGCAGGTGAGGATTTGTCCAGCTCTGCCTTTTGGCAACTGAGCACCAAGTTCCCAAAGCCTTCAGCTGCAATCCATGTGGCTACCTGAGGTCTCCTCTCCCTTTCATGGTCAGGGCAAAGGGACAGCTCATCAGCAGGTGGCACCTGCAAGAAATCGAAAGACAAATTGGGTGGGAGCAAGGGGGGACAGTCAGAGCAACAAGACTTGTAAGAACAGGGGTCCCCAAGGAGGCAGAATCCTCAACTGGGCTTCCCAAGCCACCAGACAGGTTTTTGTACCAGGGAGATATACAACTTTAATAAAAACCAATCCATAGCAAGATGCTTATGGCTTTTCTGCTGTCTGGGAGAAGGGAAGGAGCGCTGTCCCATTTAAGGTATCTGCTTTGTAACAGCAGCTGGTCAACAGGAGCTCTAATGGGTCTTCAAATAATATCAAGAAGGAGCTATAGGTCATTAGAAGATGGAGAATATGCAGACACAGAGCAGGGATAGACAGACAAATTGATAGTCTTAAAAAAGCTAAGCAAATAAATAAGACAGCTGGGGAGAGAGATACATTGTCCAGCATCCCCACATATGATTTATCTGAACAATAACATTTAATAAAAAACAATTTAAAGTCCTAATAACATTTAGGTTCACCTAATACAAAGAGCAATGACCTTCCCAGTATTCATTTCAGGTTAGAACAACATTTCTGCAATTTTGTTGTCTTTCCAGTAGAGCTATAAAAACTGTAAGTAATTACAAAACAAAATGACAAAGACCTGAAGGAGAAAAAAACCATCAAACTCTCTCTCAGCATTAGATTCAGGAGGAAGATCTCATCTGAGAAGGCGGGAGGCACCATCCAGAACAGAAATTTAGCTCGGGATAATTCTCTTTCTACTTGTTTCCCCAACTTTTCTTCCACAATTTAGGAATGCCTACTTCAACAGCACGTTTAGCATCTGCTTTCTCATAAAGCTCAACTGCTAAAGCTCAGAAACTCCAGGTTAACAGATGCATTGATCCACGTTCGGGGGCTTCACACCGCCGTGTTACCATCTCCCTTTCTCCCCTTTTTGGTCGAAGGATTACTGATTGAGATGAATGAGTTCAGAAAAGAGAAGCTGTCTCTCACGCTTCATTGCCAGCTCTCAACGAACAGGCTATTATAGCTGCGTTGGACCTGAATAAACTCCCAGAAAAAGAATAGACTGGCTGCTATTTTTACATTATGAGTAAATGTAGTAAAAATAATAAGCCGGTGTGACACAGTGTTTATAAGTCCTACTTGCATCAGAGCTGTCTTTTCAGTTATAACAAGTCAGTTCCTAATTATTACATCAAACTGGTCACTGCCAAGTGCCTGAAAACAGCGGAAAGTGTGAGACTGGTGTAGAAAACAAGCAGGGTAGTTTTAATGAGGACTCCAGTGCTGTTAAGTTTATGGATCTATTTTCATAGCCTCGACAATTATATTTTGCACTTGAATGGCTGTCAGGGAAAAACTCGGGTAGAAAGGATCTATAATATCTATTAGTGTCTTGTTATGCTGGCTAAATGTCATAGATTCCCAGGGAAATAAAAACTTGCTGGGAAAAAAATGTATTTACTCTCAGTCCACCAGCCAGGGGAGCGGATCTGGGGAGAAGTCTGAGGTGCAACACTTTGCCAGTCCAGTCCCTCTGCAGAAATAGTTGGAGTGTTGCTCTGAAATGAGCCAACATACTGCAAACGGGGCAGAGAGGCTCCCTGAATTAAAGGTTTCACCCTGCTTGATTTGGTTTGATTCTTAGAAAATAAATCTTCACCTGATATTATTAAGAAACTGCAGTTCATGGGAACAAATAGAATCAATGCTCTTTGTTCTCTTTGAAGAGTACTCAGCACTCGCTGGGGACTGATAGCCGGAGTATTAAAAACACAAAATTAGATTGTGTCTTGACTTAGCTGGCTCCGGTTTTTTTCTTATTATTGGATTAACACCCTATTGAAATAAAGGGACAACGCTGAGCAACAACTGAGCTGCTCTGGAATTAAGAGCAGAAAGTAAACTCAATGAAGGAGTTTTTAATTTTCTCTCAGAAGTGTTGCTTTCCCCACGCACCCTCCGCTCCCCCCCCCGCGCTCACGGAGCGGGAGTTCTTCTCCTCTTTCCCACGCCGCTCATCCCTTCCCCGCGCCCTCAACAGCGAAGCTGGGGAGCCCCCGCGGGGTGCCGGGACCCTGAACCCCGCGACAACGCTGCGCGGCTCGTAAAGCTCCCAGCAGAAAAACCTGTAAATCCCACTCGCATCCCGCCGCTCTCCCTGATGGATTCGCGGTTCCCGGCAAAACCCGATGCCGCTCCCCCCCTCCCGCCCCATCCTCCCCGGTTTCTTTTACACTAAAGGACTTTAGGGGGGGTTGCAAGGGCTGGAGTGGGAATCGGCGGGGCGAGGGGAGCCCCCCGGGCTTCCCAAACTCCGAAGTGGGAAAATAAACCCCATCCCGCGGCGGGGAGATGGGGATGTTCCGGGGAGGGCGACACAGAGCGGGACACCCCAGGAAAGCCCGGGAACAACTTGGGAGGTGCGGGGGACACGCGGGGTTTGGGGATGGGGCAGATGCCGGCACTGCCCGCCCCCCCTCCGCCTCCCTTTCTCCCCCTTTTCCCCCCATCCCCGGTGCTCGGCGCTGCGGGTCCTTACCGGGAGGGAGCTCTGCGGTGCGGGGCTCCCGGCGGAGCAACTTCGGGGCCGGGGGGAACCCCAAACACACCCCCCAGCCCAGCCCAGCTAAGCCCAGCCCAGCGCGGCGGGCAGGCGCTGCGCCGCCGGCCCCCAAGGGCAGATGGCCGGGGGAGCTTTGTGCAATCCCGGCTCCCCTCGCAAGTTAATGCCGAGGCTGAAATCCCTTTTGCTCTCACTTTCAATCACAATCGGAGCTTTTATCTCCGTGCCTGATCCCGGCTGCGTAACTTCCTCTGTGCAGCTTTAGCACACACCATCCCACCGGCGGCAATGGGCTTCTTAAAGGTGCAGGAGGAAATGCAGGGCGGGGGGGGAGGAGGAGGAGGAGGGAGGGAAAACCACCCGAGGAAGAGGAGGATGCGAGCGGGAGCCTTCGGCTCCGGCGGCCCCGCGGCTCCCGGTGCAGCATCCGCGCCGTCCCGCTGCTCCCGTTTGGATAACGGCAGCCGGGAATGCCGCTCCTCGGGGCTCCTCTGTTATTTTTTTCCTTTAAGAGCTTTAAAAAAAAAAAAAAAAAAATTAAAATCATGAGATCATGTTAGCTCGAGGGGAAAAAAAAAAAAAAATCTCCAGTCACGAGGGTTTCCCCACACGTGTAAGTCCTCGCATGGTGTGCCCTGAATATTTTGGGGAGGCTTCTGCTGGCGAAGATGCTGTAAATGAGGCTGCGTGCGTGTGTGTTGGGGGAAGAGGGGGTGGTTGGAATTAATAGGATAAACAAAGCAGGAACTCGGAGATGGGTAAATCAGATGGCTGGGAAATGCTTGATAATGGTGGGAATGTGCTTTGGGATTTAACCAAACCGGGTTTTTCTTTGGCAAGGTGGGGGAATTAAGGGCTGCAAAGTGTGACAGCACCTTCTAGCATGGGGCTGGAGAAGGGGTTGCTTAGGTCAACTCTGTTGAGTCCATGCTGAGGGGCAGAGAAGGCTCCAGCTCTGGACAAGGCAGATAAAGCTGTGGCAGGTAAAGGTCCAAGTTTTCCCTGCACAGGGCAGCAGCTGGAGACAGGATTCCAAAGCAACAACAGGTTTTTGTCTGCCACAGGCAGGAGGGAATGGGGAAGAGTTGCAGCAAATGTTTAATTTTAGACCATTTGCATTCTTTTACCCTGACGGATTTTGCAAATAATTAATGCTGTGTGTAGTGTTGTTCTGGATGAAATGGATAAATGTCAGTTCATTTATGGGGAGGAAAACCAAAGAATCTCCACTGCCTCCTATGTACATGACCACCAAAAAAAATAACTGCTCCCTCCTAACCAAGAATTCAATAATTCCTAAGCCAGAAAATGCATTGTCCAGCCTGTATGTGGTTTGAACCTCATTGACTCAGTATTTTGTTACATGATTTCCTTTGGCCCATTGCTCTGAGGTCTCTATGTGGCTTCTCCCATCTAAGAGTCCCTGGAAAACGCACGATCCATCCTTTGACAAGACAGGTGATTTAGAGCTCTTCTGGGAAACGTTTCCCATATTCTGGAGCATAAGTGAGATTTATGAAATGCTGGCATTGTGTCTTGACTGTGGCCCAGCCCAAATGTGATGCTGATGCACAGGGTGGTCTTTGTCTGCAAGGATGTCTTTGATTCTGGCTCAATTTTCCACTCCTCTGGTGAAGACACAGTGTGATACTTTCCACGTACTAACTTTTGTAAACACTCACTTTACAGCAGCAGTATAACTTAAGTGAGAAGCACTGGCTGGGAATCCAGGGCTGGCTAATATTCCTGGATTTCACTTTGTGCCTTTAGGTCTGCTCAGTAGTAATGACTCCCCTGGAAATTCCCCACGTCTCACTTATTACTTCTTTATTAGTTATTATGGTACCGTAACAGGATAAAAAGGAGTTGGTATTTCATTTTCATTCCCTCTAATAGCCACAGCAAAGACCAAGTGGTGTGCTGATTATTGACATCAGAGTTAAGTGATATGCACGCATCATTAGGTTTCAATTGGAAAGAATAACAGCACAGTGTGAGTCGTCACACTTCTAAACTCCATGGCATTTAAGGAAAAACCAAAGTCGTTTTTCTCAGCCCTGCGAGCTCAAAAGATCAGAAGCTGGCAATAATACTTGTATAGACACAGGTAAAAGGCGCTAGCTCCAGGCAAAGCACCAGAATTAACTAATGAGCGTAACACCCTGGGGAGGCTGGCGGCAGCTGTGGGGCTTGTCCAAGGTTACACAGCGATTCAGGAGATCCAGGAGCAGGCTTGGAGGATGGGAATTCACCCACCTCCTGGCTTAAACAGACAAATCTGGCTCCGAGGGTCCTGATGGTGGGAAGGAAAGAGATGCTCTGTGGCACGCACAGGCACGGGAGCCCAAAGCAAGCAGCTGCCGGCGGTGCTGCTGCCACAGGCAGGAGGGAATGGGGAAGAGTTGCAGCAAATGTTTAATTTTAGACCATTTGCATTCTTTTACCCCGACGGATTTTGCAAATACTTGATGCTGGGTGTAGTTTTCTTCTGGATGAAATTTCTGCGAGGAGCAGAACAGATGTGATTTTCCTTGAGGGGACAGCTCTGCCCCCTCCCTCACGCCGAGTGCTCCCTCCTCGCACGGGGAGAGCACGCGGTTGGAAATCAATGGGGCTGCACCGAGATTTAATTACTCCAGCGTAGGCAGGGGTGGAGAATAAGGCCCTTAATATTTAATACAGCCTCTGCTCTCAAAGGGATCCCCAGGGCTCAAGGGCCAAATGTAAAGCCATTATAAGCAGGTGTAATTCTATTGACATGTGCGGGCTCGCACCTGTTTATACCGGGGCTATATTTGGCTCCCTAAATCTAAATGGCAAATGGTGCTTTTGACATGCGCGGAAGAAAAGAGGGAAGTGTTTTCCTGACTTGGGATGATAGAGAATATACTGAGACAACAGAAGGGAAACGTGGCACCTCGCAGTCCCTGCTCACGGTGGCGAGACACTCGCTAACACTTGAGCTGAGTTGAGCCCGTGGAGAGTGATCTGAGATTACTGCCAGAATAATAACCAGGCTTATAAAGGATCTTTCATTTGGGGATACATACTGCTGTATCACCTATAATAGCAATACATTCTTTTTATGGTCCTTATCTAGCAATGTGCGGCCAAGGATGTCAAAGTGCCTCCTGCAAGTGAGTAAGCATTTTGTTAGGTGGAAACGCACGGCCTGGAATTGTGCTCCGAGCCCAGGAGCAGGAGAGAGACCCCTTTGTGAGGGAGGGTCTCGGGTGATACTTGACAAGCGCAGCTCAGTCCAACCCCCTGTTCCAGCAGTGACTCTCTCCAGCCCACCAGGACCTCCGGGGAGAAGTTTTCCAGGAAAAGGGAGGAAATTACTTGTAGGTGGTTTTGTTTGGGATGTTATGGATGGCGGAGCTGAAGGCTGCTTGAACCCTGTGCTTATCGGGGGGATTTGTGTCGTCTCACCACCTTTGTACTGCCCTTTTGTTCTTAGCAAGCTGAACATTAAAAAAGCTCCCAGCTTGACCAGGACGGGAAGGTTTGTGCTTCCCAGTTCCTTGTGCTTGGTGCAAAGACAGAGAGGCAAAATGTTTTGTAGTTAGGAGAAACGCTGGAAAACCCACACAAAGCCTTGAGAAACTGAGCCACAGCCAGGTCTGGCTCACACAGGCCAGGAGCGTGGGTGGGGGACATTTATTTTCTTACCCTCCCTTCACACTCTGCTCTGGCCTCGGGGCCAGACTCGCAGGCGCTGCCTGTGCCCTGCACACACAGACCTGGTGAGCAGGAGAGGGAAGAGCCGAATGCTTCAGTCCCTGGAGTACTCCACATTTTTCTTCCTTTGTGAAAGCTACTGGGGAAATGGCAGAGAGCATCTGCTCTGGGAGGGGAGGCTTCCCCAGCTCCCTCCTCCTGCACAAGACCTCGGATGCATTTTGTGCAGCTCAGCCGGTTTCGCAGGGCCCTGAGTGAATGTTGCCCTCCCTGATTAGATAACCAAAGGAGCAGTGACTGTACTCTCTGGAGAGAAGATGCTGTCTCTTCCCTGCCAGAAGGACAGCTGGAGGGAGGGTGGGATTTTCAGCATGCAAGCACTTAGCCAGATCAAGGAAATGGGATGCAAAGCATTTTAGGCTAAGAAAGGTTGTTGTGCAGGGAAACATGAGGCTGCTGTTCTGTTCGGGAGATAACGCTTCTCAAAACGCTCCTGCGTGCCAAACTGCAAGCCTTGACTACAGCAGGTCATTGCCTCTTTAAGGAAAACAAGCATGACAAGTCAGAAAAAAACCCCATCACTGTCTCTGCTGAAAAACTTTGATCATTTAAATATTATCGATGCACATTAACCCCAGCAGAGATGGGCTGGGTGATGGGAAGTGCTTCACCTTGACACTGCAAAAATATGTTGCTTTCTGCTGCCTTGTCTTTTGTTTCATATATCAAATCAGAGCTTAGCCAAGTGAATCAGCTCAAGGAAGCATTTAGGATGTATTTGATTTTTTGGGAAGGTAGAGCTTTCCTCATCTTTACCAGCCGTGGGGGTGTAAGCATGGATAAAAACAGGAGGACTGTTTAAAGGAGGGATCTATAATTAACAACCTCTCAGAAGGGGAACTTTCCTTTTAACTTACTATTAAAATGGAAGTGTTTGGAGAATATACAGTTTTGGCTCTGGGGATCTCCTCTGTATATTTGACAGAGCCCTGTGAATTCCTCTAATCCCTGCCTTGGAGTGTGTCTGTGCTTTAAAATCAACTCCTGTCACCCCACAGAGGGCTCACCTCAACACCTGGATGGATTCCCATGGGAAGCCCCAGCGTTTCCCACCCAGCCCTGGTCAGGGAGGGCATGGATGGGAGAGGAACTCCCTTCCCAGGGCAGGGCTGTGTCTCCCCAACCCTGTGCTGGGAGGAGACGCCTTCCACAGACGCTTTTTAACCTGAGGAAGGAATGTGTCACTTCTAATGGAGCTGACAGCAGCAGGGAGGGTTTTTGGGGTAGTGGTTGAAGAACACACTTGTAGTGAGTGAAGTAATTGAATAAATGCTGACAGTTTGATGTGGAAAATGCATAATCAGCTCACTGTGGAAGGTTGACTTGTTCTTTTTTCTCTCGCACTGGGATAAACACTTATCCTCTTCCAAGCAGGTGATGTATTCAGCAGCACAGAACCAGGAGACCTGTGCACATGCTCCCCTCCCAGGCACACATGTGCCCATCACCAAATAATTGACCCAGTTATGCTACTGTGCTATTAGTAAATACATATATAATAAATCTCAACACTTAACTTCTTCCTGAGTCACATGCTGGTTGAACACTCCCTTCAGTCATTCACTGGCTCCAGCCCAGATACACTCCCTGTGCCTGTTTTAGGGAGAAAGGTGCCAGTCCCTAGGTGGTGATGAATGAGGCCACACCAAGTAGCACCAAGAGCTGATCATGCAGGAATAACTCACATTCTAACTGGCTTTTCAGATCCCAAGCACAGCTAATAAACCGTGGATGCA